AACCACAAATAGGTAAACAAGCAAACACAAACGACACAGTTCCTCACAAGAGATTAGTGCAGAAGCTAGAGGATCAGGCGCGTATAACGGGAAGGGCACTGCAGTGGATCAGAGAATAACTGACAGGGAGGCAACAACGAGTTATGGTATGTGAAGAGGTATCACAGTGGGCGCCTGTGACGAAAGGGGTCCCACAGGGGTCAGTCCTAAGACCAGTGCTGTTTTTGATATATGTGATAGACTCTGATGATGTGAAGTTAATGAGAAGAATTAAATCAGATGAGGATCAGGCAGGACTGCAAAGAGACCTGGACAGGCTGGACACGTGGCCCAGTAACTGGCTTCTCGAACTCAACCCTGCCAAATGCAAAGTCATGAAGATTGGGGAAGGGCAAAGAAGACCGCAGACAGAGTATGGGCTAGGTGGACAAAGACTGCAAACCTCGCTCAAGGAGAAAGATCTTGGTGTGACCATAACACCGAGCACGTCTCCGGAGGCACACATCAACCAGATAATTGCTGCAGCATATGGGCGCCTGGCAAAGCTGAGAATAGCGTTCCGATACCTTAGTAAGGAATCGTTCAAGACACTGTACACTGTGTACGTCAGGCCCATACTGGAGTATGCAGCACCAGTTTGGAACCCACACCTGGTCAAGCACGTTAAGAAGTTAGAGAAAGTACAAAGGTTTGCAACAAGGCTAGTTCCGGAGCTCAGGGGAATGTCCTACGAAGAAAGGTTGAGGGGAATCGGTCTGACGACACTGGAGGACAGGAGGGCCAGGAGAGACATGATAACGACATACAAAATTCTGCGTGGAATAGACAAGGTGGACAGAGATAGGATGTTCCAGAGAGGGGACACAGAAACAAGGGGTCACAGTTGGAAGCTGAAGATTCAGATGAGTCACGGGGATGTTAGGAAATATTTCTTCAGTCATAGAGTAGTTAGGAAGTGGAATAGCATAGCAAGTGATGTAGTGGAGGCAGGAACCATACATAGCTTTAAGACGAGGTATGACAAAGCTCAGGAAGCAGAGAGAGAGAGGACCTGGTTGCGATCAGTGAAGAGGCGGGGCCAGGAGCTGACTTTCGATCCCTGCAACCACAATTAGGTGAGTATAATTAGGAAAGTACACACATACACACATACACACACATGGAGCAGGGAGAGAGTGAACCTAATAGCGACCTGAAAAGAAGCGGGGCCAGGAGCTGTGAATCGACCCCTGCAACCACAAATAGTTAAACATACACACACACACACATACTCACCAAACCATACCCCCGGCCGGGATTGAACCCGCGGTCATAGAGTCTCAAAACTCCACCCCGTCGCGTTAGCCACTAGACCAGCTAGCCACAATAAGATTCATCCAACTAGATATATTTCTACACCATAGGAAGTTTAGCACAGGCACCACTGTGACTACAAATGCAAGTTTTTACAGACGAATCTCCAGCTAGCGTGGCCGTGACGAACTCTAGCTATGGTGTAGAAATATACCTAGTTGGATGAATCTTATTGTGGCTAGCTGGTCTAGTGGCTAACGCGACGGGCTGGAGTTTTGAGACTCTATGACCGCGGGTTCAATCCCGACCGGGGGTATGGTTTGTTTGCAATCGTGTCATTACGATTTCTTGAGACATACTCCCCAACACAAACAAATATTTCCAACCCAGCAGCATCAACATGCACCTCTGTCATTCATAATTCAACATTCATCTCCCGGTAGAGAGATGCTCCAGCATCCTCCTCCCAGTCGAAATACCTCGCTTCTATATGCATAGCAAATAATACTCAAGTACAACTTTTGTCATAAGTACACGTACGGGAGAGGGCTAAAATAGATATTTATTCACCTCACGATATTATATATATATATATATATTTATATATATATATATATATATTATATATATATATATATATATATATATTATAATATATATATATATGTCGTGCCGACTAGGCAGAATTTGAGATCTTGGCTTAAATAGCAACTCTCATCTTGCCGTATAGGACAAGTGAAAATTTGTGTATGCAATAATTTCGCCAAAATCATACTGAACCTAACGAAAAAAATATATTTGATTGTGTTTGTTTAGTACTTAATTATTGTAAACGTATTTAAAATATATTTAGTTGGGTTAGGTTAAAATAAAATTATCTTGTTATAATAAGGTTAGGTAAGTTTTCTAAGATTCTTTTGGTGCAAAATTAAAAATTTCTACATTAACATTAATGAAAAAAATATGTCTTTCAATGTATAAGAGAAAATTTTAGAAAGGACTTAATTTTAAATGAGTTCTTGCTAATTGACCAGTTTTACATATTCGGCACGACATATATATATATATATATATATATATATATATAGGTGTGTGTGTGTGTGTGAATAGTCGAAATCTTTTCCTCCTCCGTCTTCACCTGCAGATCCTGAGGCTGTCGGAAAACCTTAAGATTCTGGCGAGAAAAGTGGTCAGCAGGAGACATCTTCCTCCGGTAAATTCCCACTGCCGTTTTAAAACAATTTTTCTCTTTGCTTCCCACTCGTGTCTAGATGGCGACCCTCCAGCAGTGACGAGGAAAGGAAACTGGCTGTAGGACCAGCGTTTATTTGGTTAGAGCAACGTTTCGTTCTGCGTTGAGTTCGATCATGGCTTCATAAAGCCCTACACAGCGAAATGTTGCCCCGACAAAAGCATTTTCTGTAGTCTGTGTTTTGGTTCTCTTTTTCGTCTCTGTTTTTATTCTCTGCTTATTCTAAAACCGTTTCCTGTTAATACATATATACCATTACGTACGTCACATGACACTCTGAACATGTTACGTACATGACACGACACACTGAACATGTTACGTACATGACACGACACACTGAACTTGTTACGTACATGACACGACACACTGAACATGTTACGTACATGACACGACACACTGAACATGTTACGTACATGACACGACACACTGAACATGTTACGTACATGACACGACACACTGAACATGTTACGTACATGACACGACACACTGAACATGTTACGTACATGACACGACACACTGAACATGTTACGTACATGACACGACACACTAAATATTCTTGTGCTGTATTTTATGTTTGTATAAAAACTGATTTAATCGTAAGTGTCTTATATGAAATACAGTGTTTAATTAATTAAACTGGGTCCATTATTTTGAAACACTCTGCACATACAGTGTGTACCCGATCTGTACCCGTATCTGTACATATCGCTACATGTACAACTGTATTTGTTCCATGGTTCTCTTCCACACAACATTATCTGTATTTGTCCCAGTCTTCTCTTCTACACAACATTATCTGTAGTTACCTCTGTACGTTATCCTGGTCCTTGTATTTGTAAGCATAATTCCCAATGAGAATGCATTTGTACCTACTTGTGCCTGAACGCTTTCTTACAGTCCAAGAAAATGCACTCTATCCACCCCTCTCTCTACTTTCTTACTGCTGTCACCCTGTCATAGAACTCCAGTAGGTTTGTGACACAGGATTTCCCATCCCTGAAACCGTGCTGGTTGTCGTTGATAAGATCATTCCTTTCTAGGTGCTCCACCACTCTTCTCCTTATAATCTTCTCCATGGCTTTGCATACTATATACGTGTCAGTGTGTGTGTGTGTGTGTGTGTGTGTGTGTGTGTGTGTGTGTGTGTGTGTGTGTGTGTGTGTGTGTGTGTGTGTGTGTGTGTGTGTGCGTGTGTGTGTGTGTGTGTGCGCGCATGTACAGTCACAGGTACTGAAGTGAACACAGATTCACCTAAATATTCACATATAATACTGAATTCTGAATAAAGTCTTGTTTCAGTTAACAAGCCACCTAATGTCAAGGAATCAGATGTCCCTTCAGTACCACCAAACTACCACACATGGACCGGGTCGCAGGGGTGGTGATCCCCGGAATACCCTACACGTAAGCTCCAGATATGTCCATTAACAACTCCAAATAGAATGAAATCGCCATTGCATTCATATCGACAGTGACTGGAGGGATATCAAGTTTGATCATAGGAATGGAAGGGTAGCTCCAGTGCCCTACATCAAGTACACGAAAGGGTGGTAGAAAGAAGGCAAGTTTGCAACCTAACTGACCAGCAGCGATGACGTTATTGTCTCTGATGTTGTACTGTAGACATTGTAGCCAAGCAGGTCCCACCAGCTCCAGTTCTGGGTGACTGCTCGTGTCTGTGGAGAGACATCATATATATATATATATATATATATATATATTATATATATATATATATATATATATATATTATATATATATATGTATATAAATAGCGAGTTAGGAGTGAATGGAGACGAATGGTATTGATGACCTGGCGAGCTGTTGGAGTGTGAGCAGGGTAATATTTATGAAGGGATTCAGAGAAACCGGTTATTTTTGTATAGTCGGTCTTGAGTCCTGGAAATGGGAAGTACAATGCCTGCACTTTAAAGGAGGGGTTTGGGATGTTGGCAGTTTGGAGGGATATGTTGTATATCTTTATATGTGTATGCTTCTAGACTGTTGTATTCTGAGCACCTCTGCAAAAACAGTGATTATGTGTGAGTGAGGTGAAAGTGTTGAATGATGATGAAAGTATTTTCTTTTGGGGGATTTTCTTTCTTTTTGGATCACCCTGCCTCGGTGGGTCACCCTGCCTCGGTGGTAGACGGCCAACTTGTTAAAATATAATATATATATATATATATATATATATATATATATATATATATATATATATTATATATATATATATATATATATATATATATATATATATATATATATATTATATATATATGTCGTGCCGAATAGGCAGAACTTGCGATCTTGGCTTAAATAGCAACGCTCATCTTGCCATATAGGACAAGTGAAAATTTGTGTATGCAATAATTTCCCAAAATCATTCTGAACCTAACGAAAAAAATATATTTCACTGTGTTTGTTTAGTATTAAATTATTTTAAACAAATCTA